CGGGGAGCGGGTCTCGTTCTTTTCGGCAGTTGGGGCCGTTCCTGGTGGATTCAACGCGCCTAATTTTTAATGGGGGACTGGAATGCCATCCTGGACCCCAAGTTGGGACACAGGGGCGGGGTGCTAGCGGGAGAGGGGCGATCGCAGCCTGGTCGATCTGATCGGCGATTATGGTCTTGTCGATAGATACCGGGTCGATCATCCAGAGGGAAAAATGTGGACGTGGGCTCTTAATTGGGCCACTGACGACATGTGCGGAGCGTTTCGGCGCCATTTCGAGAACCGGTTTACAGGGGCCCTGGTCTCCGTGAGGAGGTTTCATGTAGCTACTTGGCTGACTTTCCTCGGCTTTTTGCCGACTGAAGCTGCTAGCTGCGAGGGAGAGATTACGGAGGGCAGTCTACGCGGTATTGAAGAAGGTCGGCAGAGGCAAGTCGCCTTGGTCTGGATGGTTTGCCGTATGAATTGTACTTGAGGCTGTCGCACATCTTTGTTCCAATTTTGACTGCAGTGTTCAACAACTGGTTTCGGTCAGGGGTCCATCCCCAATCGGATCACCAGGGGGTGTGATCACTCTGTTAAAAAAGGGCAAAGGTGGTGGGGAAGCTAGATGATTACAGGCCCATAACTCTGCTAAACACAGAGTTAAAGATTATGGCCAAGATCCTGCAGGAGCGTTTGCAGTCAGTTGCCGAGTCTCTGTTGGGACCTGAGCAGACTTGTTCTGTGAGGGGTCGAACAATTCAGAGCAACCTGCATCTGATCCACACGATCATAGAGGGTGTAAAGACGACGAAGAAGCCGCGCTGATCAATTTGGATCAGTCAAGGCATTTGATAGGGTCGACCATCGCTACCTTGCTGCTGCCCTGCAGGCCGCTGGATTCGCACCCAACTTCTGCCGCTGGATTAGCCTCTGTATCGCTCCCCCCAGTGCGGTGGTACAGGTGAACGGAAGGTTGTCGGACGCGTTCGTGCTGTCTGGGTCAGTTCGTCTGGGTTGTCCGCTGTCGCCTCTCCTTTATGCTTTGGCGTTGGAGCCTCTCCTTCGCCGGCTGAAGGACGAGACCGGCAGTCCGGCCCTACGTGGAATTGCCGTTCTTGGAGGGTCTCGAGCCAGGGTTTCCCCGCACGCCGATGATGTATCTGCTTTCGTGTCGTCCCGCAACGACATTGAGGCGGTACAGAAGGCGCTTGATCGGTACGGAGCCAAAATAAACCGCGACAAGTCGTCCGGCTAGCGGTTAGGTGCCTGGAAGGGGGTCGCTCTTCCGGGCCGCTTCGGTTGGACAGACGGTCCTGTCCGCATTCTTGGAGTGTGGTTTGGGCCTGACCTCCAGCTGGAGAAGAATTGGTCTGAAGTACGAGCAAGGGTCAATTCCGCCGGTCAGACTTGGAATCGACGGAGGTTGTCCGTGAAGGGCAGGTCGGAGGTGTGTGCTACATACATTTTCCCCCTCATTCTTTATCGATTGTCCGTACTTCCTCTCTGTAAGACCCACAAGAAGGCGATCGAGCGATCGCTATCTTCCATTTTATAGAGGAGACGCGGGAATCGGGTCGACAGACGAGTCTGCACTAAACGTCCGTGTCATGGGGGGCTGGGAATGCCGCACCTGCCGAGTCACATCCATGCATCTAGGTTGACTTTCCTACACCGCGCATTGACTGGAGGAGATCCGATTCTGGAGGGGATTGTTAGGGACGCGTTCTCTGGCCTTACCATCAGTCCGCCCATCTCGCGGGTTGAGCGCGGTCGTAAACCCCGGGATCAATCGGTTTTCCTTCGCGAGTGTCGGTCGGCCTTGAGGGCCGTTCCCCGGTCCAGTGACCTTTCTCGGCCTCGGAAGATCTTCTATCCTGAATTAGTGGAGAGGCCCGCGAAGGATCCCCTACGAGATATGTTCGGCTTGTCGGAGGAGGAGTATCGCTCCTACTGATCTTAGGCGCCAGCGGCGGATTACCTCAGTAACCCTGAGTTTTCGCTTAGCTGGCGATTGGCTCGGAATCGGCTGACTCTCAGCGACAAGGTTTTCATATGGGGCTTGGCGGATTTGCCAGTCTCTGAACGGTGTGGTCTTGGCTTAGATGAAACGGCTGCGCACGCCTTCTACCATTGCCCCCAAGTCCGCCCCTTATGGGACCATGTCGGCGAGCTGACGGTTCGTCTCGCCCCCGAACAGCTTGTGTCCATTGATCGCGCATACGCGTGTGACAATGTGTCGCCCTCGTATTCCGGGATGAAACGGATGGTGTTTCTGACGCTGATGGCCACGGCTCGAATGGTGATTTGGACAACGCGAAAGGAGGAAATCTTGCGAGGCAATCGTCTTTCTCATTCGGATCTAATTCGATACTTTGAGCATCAGCTCAAGATGAATATTAGATCGGATAGAAAACGATTGCATTCGACAGTCTTTAGCGAAAGGTGGGTAAAAAAAAGCCAGCTTGTTTCGTGTGAACAGGGCTAGCCTTGATTTTCTCTTCTAGGTCAACCTATT